CAATGGATGAAAACTAATCAAGGAGAGAAGCAATCTAGAACTAAGGAGAAACTTCTTGACAGTTAGAACAATTAACCAGTGGAACAACCTGCCTTCAGAAGTGGTGAATGCTCCAATACTGGAAGTTTTTAAGAAGAGACTGGACAGCCATTTGTCTGAAATGGTATAGGGTTTCCTGCCTGAGCAAGGGGTTGGACTAGATGACCTCCAAGGTCCCTTCCAATTTTATTATTATTATTATTATTATTATTATTATTATTATTATTATTATTATTGCTATTATTATTGCTATTATTATTATCTCAGATAAGTGACTGTCTCTAGCCTCTGTACTGTTGAAATGGACATATTGTAATCCAATACATGCTGAGCAAATCAAGTTGGGAAATACTGCTGTGTGAAATGCAAAAATGTGATTCTGTTAGTTTTAGTTTTAAAATTCTGTGATGTTTGGAAGGCTGAATAAGGCAAAAAGCTGCTGCCTATGAATTTCCAACAGCTAAATTTTGAACACACACACACAAAGCAAAGCACACTAACTATAGTATAAATACTGCACACTATAATGTGCATAAATTACTGATAAAATATGCCATTGTTTTCAAATAAAGTAAATGATGAACAATTCATTGTTTTTGATGAAGTGATAAATCAAATTTGGAATCAAAATATGAAGTGATGGTTACTGTAGGTGATTTTCTCAAACAACTTTGTGCCAATGCTACCATCTGCTGGGCATTTGTTAGAATTTCACAAATATTTCTATACAAAGAAAGATTTTAATTTTTTGAAAGAATAAGAACTTTTCCATTTGCTATCTCCCAGCATTCTAGAACCAACAGATCCCAGTGAGATTCCAAGTGCCTGTTAGTTATCTCATTTATTTCTGGTTTGGTTGGAGTGCATTATGGAATATAGTGGAAAAGATTCCCCTTTTCAGATGTTTTCCTATTAGTTAAAAGGTCTATCTTTATTATCCTTGAGGGAGATGGGTGGTCTAGAAACATGAAATATAAATAAAAATAAATAAAAAAATATGTTGACATTGCTTCTAGCATCTGGAATCAATGGTGCTTCTTCCTCTTTCTTTTTCTCAGTGTAAGGATTTGTGCTGAATGGGATTTATTTGTGAGTAAATAGGATAATGTTATGTTAGAGATAGTAACACAGTGCATGTTTGGATAATGATTCAGAAGTACATGTGTGAGCATGAACACAGCATCTCTGCTATTTATTAGAACAGCCTGTCTTTTGTCAGGTTTCCATATACAAAGGGTGCCACTGCTTTAAGAGATCAACTCATGAAATGCAGTATAATAAAGCAATAGCATATTTATTTCTCAGGTTTGTGCAGATGCCTGAAGATAGGCAGACTGCTTTGATGGTAGTAGAAAGGGGTATGCCAACACAAGTGCTAAAGCAGGGGTCCCCAACCTTTCTTGGTTGGCAGTGCAGGGGGGGGGGTGGAGATGCCTTTATGTGCGTGCGCATGTGTGCACGAATGGAGCTGCAAGCGTGCGCATGAACGGGGCCACGATTGTGTGTGTAATGCAGATGGGGCCACAAGCGCTCCAGCAATGCTAGCACCCACACGCTGCTGCAATGCTAGTGCGAGTGGGGGTGCAATCATGGTGATGCTAGCATCTGTATGACACGGTATCACTACCACCCGCGTGCCACTGCAACACTAGCGCAAATGACGGATGCATGTGCCCAGTGGGCCAACAGCCCACGGCCTGGTAGTGGGCTGCAGCTAGTGGTGGGATTCAAATATTTGAGCAACCAGTTCTCTGTGTGGATGCCACTTCCAGAAGTCCATTCTGGGCCTGGGCAACAAAAAATTAGCTACCGGTTCTGCTGAACTGGTGCGAGCCGGCTGAATCCCACCACTGGCTGCGGCTCACAGGTTGGGGACCTCTGTGCTAAAGCATTTCTTTCTAATAGTTAATACTGTATATAATGTGTAAAGAGTAGAACTACCATTATTATACTTCCAGATAAGTGCAGAGAAGTAATGCCTCAGTAGCACTTAAATTTCTAATGCATAAGAATAATGGCTTTTCTTTTTTAAAAAAAAATTCAACACACATACAGTTATCTAGTGGTTGCAAAGTCTGAGTGTCTTTGTTAAAAGAAAGTATCAATGTTGCCCATGTTGGAAGTATACTATAAACTCAATTCTTCTGGGATTAGACTGAAATTAAATTGGCATGATTTTAATTTTACACTTATATTTTTCTTACCTGTGATAACATTAACCCAAGTTAACTGTCAAACGTGGGAGCGTGTGGGATTACAGTATGTATGAAAGGGTTATTGAGGATGTGTCAAAGTGCAGCTACAAATGTACCATTTGTTTGTTATCCTTCTCTTTTCAAATAACTTTTTTCAATTTTACTACAAATTATACTTCTTTGGTTCTTCAAAACACTGGCAGTTTAGTTCTGCTTAGAGCAAGATAATACAGGTAGCCCTCAACTTATGCCCTCAGCTGAGATCAAAATTTATGTTGCTCAACAAGGCAGTTAAGTGAGTTTTGCCCCATTTACCATTTTTTTTGCCACTGTTGTTAAGCAAATCTCACTGCAGTCATTAAATTAAATGTTTGTATAATAACATAGAAATAGTTCCAGTATCCTAAGCTGATACATACGGATCATGGTAGCTATATAGAAATTGGCACCACATTGTTAGCCTTAAAGCCATAGAGTCCCATATAGCCCCCTTACTCCATCCAATTCAAAGACAGTTTATTTACTGTTTGCTGAAGATGTGTCTTCATAACATCACCTTTGTCTTACTATCATCCTAGGTGAGGCGAGATGAGGCAAAGTGAGGCAAAGAGAGTTGGCGTAATAGATGGTAGTTTCCAACATCTGTCCTAACTCAAAGCTCTTCTTAAGTAAGAACATCTCAATGTGTCTCATTTAAGAAGGCAGGGCTGCCTGTTAAATTGAGCAAGAATTTTTTTGATGATTTGAACACAATAATACTAAGATTTATATGGCAAAGAAAGAAAGCAAGAATTAAATGTAAACTTTTACAAGATGCCAAAGACAGAGGGGGCTTTGGATTTCTGGACTGAAGACTTTATTATCAAGCAGCTATTTTGCTCTGGCTGAAAGAATGGATTATGCTGAGAAATAAACAACTTCTCTACTTAGAGGGACATGACCTCCAATTAGGTTGGCACGCCTTTTTATGGTATGAGAAAACTAAAGCACATAAATACTTTCAAAATCATGTCATAAGAATGCATTGCTTTCAGAATGGGAGAGAATTAGACACAAAATGTACATGAAAATACCTGAGTGGCTTTCAACAATGGAAGCATTTGCTTATCCAAACTTGATTAACTTTGATAAACTTGTTAGTTATGAAGATATTTTGGATAAAGATGGAAAACTTAAAGACAGGCAAACTCTTCAACAACAAGGTATCAAGTTAACATGGTGGTCTTATTTGCAAATTCAAACAAGATATGAAAAAGATATAAAATCAATGGGATTTTACAAACAGCAGATTCCACTTGATAAAATACTTTTGAAAACAGACGAGAAATTGACTAAGAAACTTTATAAATGTCTGTTAAGATGGAAGATGGAAGAAGAACAAGTAAAAGAAACAATGATAATATGGGCAAAGAATTTTGGATACTCTATATATAGATTTAGAAGACTGGCAGAAACTTTGGGATAAAAATATTAAACTTACTAAAGCAGCATCATATAAAGAAAATCTATATAAGATGTTTTATAGATGGCATATGACACCAGTTTGATTAGCGAAAATGTTTAAAAATGTATCAAATACTTGCTGGAAATGTAAACAAAACTCAAGCACTTATTACCATGCCTGGTGGATATGCCCTATCGCAAAGAAATATTGGCTTAAGATTCATAGATGGCTGGAAAAGATGATGAAAGTACAGATAGAAATTAAACCGGAATTGTTTTTGTTAGGAATAGTAAGATCTAGCTATGGTAAAGAGAATGACTATTTAATACTACATATATTAACTGCTGCAAGAATAGTATTTCCCAATTTTGGAAAAATGAAAATTTACCATCTGACCAGTCTATAATCTCGAATATTTTAGATTGTATAGAAATGGACAGATTAACCTTGGAAATGAAGGAGAAAGAAGACTCAATTTATTTTAAAACTTGGGAAAAGTTTTATCGATGGTTAGAAATACGTCAGAATGTGAATGGAGTTTAAAATTGAATAGAATAAATGCTAGATTTCTAATTAAGTTCTATTTTGTTAGATTAATAATATCTTTATTACTAGTGATGATCAGAAATAATTGATAAGTTATTAAGTATGGATATTTACTCAGAGGATTTTTATCTATTTATCAAATTTTAGTTATGTGATTATAGTTAATTTGATCTTTATAACTGTTTAGTATTATATAAAGTTTGTATTTAAATTTCATGTTTATTCCTATGAATTTTTTTCTTTTTTATTTGTGATTCTAACAATAAGTAATTATAACTAACAAACTAATATATTAATTTGTTAAAGTTATTACAGTTAAGTATTAGTAATATTATATTAAGCATCACTATTTTATATTAATTAGTATGATTGAATATGTATACCTAGACGGGTTTACTTGTTGAAGCGTTGATTTAATGTGGGGGACAACCCCACTATTGTACCTATCCCTTCCCCTGGTCTAACCTTTTTTGTTTGTTACCCCTTGTCATACCCTTATTGACCCTATTTTTCCTTTACTCTCATAAAATTTAATAAAATATATTTTAAAAAAAGAGAAGAAGGCAGGGCTGCTTTCTCACAAGTAACATCACTGACCTCTGCTACTCCTCTCTATGCTCTCTGCTTTATGTACCTTTGCATTGGGAAGGAGTAGCAATTTGTCTTCCTGATTACATAACAGCAGCAATTGTTCCCTCTGCCTGTCTGCCAGCCCCATCTCCTCTGCCTCAGCTCAGTCGGCTGTTTGACTGGTGCCCCCAAAGCTGACTGCTCACCTTCCAAGGACCTCTGAAGTTGACTCCCCATCATCATCAGACTCAGATTCCAAAGCCTCCACCCATGGGATTTCTCCCTTGAATCATGTTGTATGCTGCTATAGACAGGGAGACAGTTTTGAAGCAAATATTCAGAAAATGTATGTAAACAAAGAAGACAGAACTGAGTCCTGGAAAAGGAGATATTGTTATGAAGAGACTCAGGATGACTCTTCTCTGATTCACTGGTGTATAAAAAGGAAGGGAGGAGACACAAAATACACGTAGCCCTTGAATTATGGCCATGTGTTTAATGGCAATTCATAATATGAAGGCGTTGGAAAAAAATGACCATCACACACCCCACAGTCATGTGATCAGAATTTGTGTGCTTGACATCCAGCTCACATTGACATCTTGCAATCACATAATTGTGATTTGTGAGCTTTTTAACCAGCTTCTAACAAGCAAAATCAGTGGGGGAAGCTGGAGTCACTTAACAACAAAATGATTCAATTAATGTAGCTGGTGATTAGCTTAATCCCCATGGTAAAATGGTCATAAAATTGGGTATAATCATGTGATGAGTTGCTTAATGATCACATCACTTAGCAACTGAAATTCCGGTCCCAGTTGTCACTAAGTCGAGGACTACTTTTATCTTCAGGGCTCTTATGGCTGTGTAATTTTTTCTCACATAAATCAGTATGAAGAAGTCTCAAAGGTGCTTTTTCAAAAGGCAACTGGAGTGTTTTTTCTTGAGGAAGAAAACATTTTGCTTCTCATTCAAGAAACTTCATCAGTTCCTGTTCCATCTAGTTCAGAACTGATGAAGCTTCTTGAATGAAAAGTGAAACGCTTTCTTCCTCAAGAAAAAACATTCCAGTTGTCTTTTGAAAAAGCACCTTTGAGACAACTATGACTGAGAATCTCCACAGAAATTCAGTATGAAGAAGTATTTATCAATATGCTTAAAGAATAGAATAGAATAGAATAGAATAGAATAGAATAGAATAGAATAGAGCTGGAAAGGACTCTGGAGGTCTTCTAGTCCAGCCCCGTGCTCAAGCAGGAGAACCTATACCATCTCAGACAGGTGAATGTCTAGTCCCATGGTGGTGACCTATGGCACGCATGCCACAGGTGGCATGCAGAGCCCTCTCTGTGGACACGCGCGCCATCGCCCCAGTTCTAGGCCTTCAGCTGGGTTTTATAAAACCTTTTCGCTTTAGGCCTCCACTGCCATGTGCAAAAAAAAAAAAAAAAAGGATCAATCAATGAATTTCAACTTCTCGCAGGAAAAAAAAGATCTCACAAAGTCAGAATTGATTGATTGAACTTTTTAATCCCACCCAATCTGCCATTACCACTGAAGCCATGCCAACCCAATGGGCCACACCCACCCAGCACCCGACGATACATAAGTGGGTCTTGGATTGCAGTTTGGGCACTCGGTCTCTAAAAGGTTCACCATCACTGGTTTAGTCTCTTCTTAAAAATCTCCAGTGATGGAGTGCCCACGATTTCTGGGGGTAAGAGTCTTAAAAGATTTTGTTTCACACCCCAAATCTGTCCCCCAAGAAGACAGCACTTATCTCTTGATAGATTTCCAGCTGATATATTGTTTTATTTTCTTTTAGTGGAGAATTTCCAATCACTGTGCCAAATTCATTCTATCTTTGCCTTATTAGTAGAAGCAAGAATCTTTTCCTTTGTAGAATATTCATCCATCCATTCATTCATTTTCCACCCATCTCGTATCCAACTACTCTGGATGGCTTACAACATAAAAATATTGAAAAACATTAAAATCATCTATTATAAAAACATAGCAGATAAACATTAGCAGATAAAGTCATGGACACAAGATGGCAAAGAGGGGAGTCAGACGCTCCGGCACGGAGGAAATCCTCTTCTTCGATCTCCAAGGCATTTGATGTGGCTTTTCATTCAGAGGTCTTGAAAGTTCATCAATCACTATGTAACAAATTTCAGTTTAGTTTTTTCCCTAATCCCTTATGCCTAAAATAAACAGAAAATAGCTATTGCTCCATAAAAACGTTGCTTCTGTGGTCAGGATAATGATCATTTGAAATTTATCTGTTTTTGAGAACATTCTGAATTCACATTCAATGCTGAGTTTACTTCCAGAATATTTTGAAACTGGAACCAGAATTGGTCAGAATTTTCTAGAACTCTTTGGAATTTTTTAGAAGTTTCTAGCACTTTTGGAGACTGTCCAATAGTATGCATAGAAGCATAAAAGTACAGATGCATTAAACCACAACATTTTAGTTTACCTAATTGCTGAGTAAGAGAATAGCAAATAGCAATATTTGATTTAGATGACATCAAGAGGTTGCTTGCACCCAGCAGATGCATTTTGCTGCACGTGTGGACAATTTATGAAGACGAGCGAAAAAGTACTCAGTGAAAGCATCTGTTAAAATGTGCGAGGCCTATAAAACATACTTTGGAATACCTGTCGGGGATCAAGACTATCCCTGGGCACCTCATTGCACATGTGAACACTGCAAGAAAACTCTTGAAGATATGATGAAAAACTGTTGCTCACTAGATGGAATTTCAGTGATTTATTACAGTTTAAAACAGTGGTTCTCAACCTGTGGGTCGGGACCCCATTTGGGGTCGAATGACCATTTCACGGAGGTCGCCAAACAAGGCTGTCCGCCATTTTCCCCCCTTTTATTTGGCCACGCCCCTGGCACCCAGTAATGTATAAGTGGTTGGGGGTCACCACAACATGGGGAACTGTATTATGGGGTCGCGGCATTAGAAAGGTTGAGAACCACTGGTTTAAAAGAATTGCAATTAAGAAAATTTTCACTAATTTCAATATTCTAGGAAAATACAGACTATAATGTACATTTATGCCCTATGGCAGACATGTCACTACACACGGCCCGGGGGCTGGATGCGGCCCGCAAAGTGGTTTCATGTGGCCTTTGAAGCCATCCTGGAAACAGTGAGGGAACAGCCCCCTCTGTCTTGGCTCTGGCCCAAGCCAGCTGGGAGGCAATGTACAATTTTGTTGGCCATCTATGCTGAAACACATTCAGTCTTAGCTCCATAAGCCCTCCCCCATGGCCTGAGAGGAACAGTGAAGCTCCTCCAGTGGACCATGCCTTGGCACTTGCCCTGGTCCCATCCCCTTCTTCCAGAGACCCTCAAATCTGTCCCACTTCTGCCCAGCCCCCCACAGGCACCCTTGACACAAACGATGTAGAGCTGGCCACACCCACCCAGTAGGCCACACCCACCCCATCCACACCCACCCAGTAGGTCGCACCCACCCTGGTCACACCCACCTTGCCCCCTGAAGGCAACCACAATACTGATGCAGCCCTCAATGAAATTGAGTTTGACACCCCTGCCCTATGGTTATATCTTGCATAATATTAGGTAATGTGTGAAATATCATTTTTAAAATTTATATAATTCTGCTATGTTTACAGGTTGGTACAGGGGAGAAAAGTGAGTTATGAAGCTTGCTATCCCAACTGACCATTCAAGCAACTGCTACTTCACATTGGTGGACCCTTTGCAAATGTCAAACTGACAAGCATGAACCTCATGCATCCAGACATTCCTTCATCCATCACCCTGGTACCAAAATGCCATGAGCTTCCCGTTCCCACCCTGCTGGAAAGGGATCATCCATCTTCAGGAGGTAGAAGCAAGTCAAACACTGAAGAAGATATTGCAGATACAGGTTACAATTTCACAGATGCGGCTGAGGAGAGAAAGCCATACTTCCCCAACCAGAAAGACCTCAATGATCTGATTAGAGACCTTGGTCTTACCAAGTCCCATGCTGAGTTTCTGATCTCTATGCTCAAGGAGTGGAACTTATTGGATGAAAGTGTGCAAGTTGCAGATCAGAGAAAGCGTCACCAAAGTTTTCCCAACTTCTTCAGTCAGCAAGATGGGCTGTGCTTCTGTGGCCAGTCTATTTGAGGCTATAGGAATCACTTGCAATCCCAAACTGTTCATAGACAGTTCATCCAGGAGCCTCAGATTTGTGCTGCTTCATAATGGGATCAAATACTTGTCTCTCCTTATGGCTCACTCTTTGCACCTCAAAGAGGACTGCACCAATATCAGGATGTTGCTGAGTGCTTTAAAATGTGGCCAAGTTCTCCCTAGAGAAGAACAACATAAAGTGGGAGCCGCTGGTAGACCCTTGGAAGGTGCTGATGCCACCACTGCACATCAAGATATGGCTGGACGAACAGCTGGCTGTGCATTTTGGAGAAGAGATGCAGCTGCAGCCAATCAGCACCAGTGAGGAGGAATTGCCACTCCAGACTGATCCAAGGACACGAAGGGCCAAGCAAGAGGGGCGCAATGGAGGTCAGTGAGGCTAATTCGCAAGGAGGCAGCCTTGCCCCTCTTAATGAGGTGCACTGACAGTTCCTACTTAACTAGGTGTTTTGAACTTGGTCGATGTCGGAGACAAGCACCCATAATCTGACTGGGTGTGGATGTTCCTAAACCTTTGATCCTTCATCTTGTCTTGAGCCTGTTGCAGTCACGTTTGACCTTTGTCCTGCTTTGAATTGGGAGTTCTGCTTTGAACTTGGAATTGTGCTTGCCTTTGTCCCGCATTGAACTCAATGGGAGATTTGCTTTGTACCTATTGGAGATGTGTTGCCTTTGTCCAGTGTTGAATCTGCTGGAGCTATATTTGCCTCTGCACTGCCTTCAACTGGTGGGGAGCTGTGGTTGCTTTCGTTGAGCTGGGACTTTGGGAAAAGACTTAAACAGGATTGTCTGTAAGACTTTGCAGAGAGGGCTTGGGGAATGTCTGTTGTATGAATAAACGCATCTAACTCCTTAGCTTGTATGTGTGCTTGAGGACTGGGACAGGACAATAAGCCTAAAAAGATAGCAGTAGTCATAGATAAAAACCAGCACTCAGTGTAGAATAAATTTGAATAAATCGAGAGTTCAGTTTTCCAAATATCTAGTTGATGCCTCTTTTTAATAGATGAATACAATTTTATTAATTTACTACTACTAATATATATGATGTATAATATCTATGCTTACTAATATTTTTAGTGCAAGATTGGAAGATGTGGAGAGATCAGGCTCATAGATTCACCAAGAGTCAGAATCTACTGAATGGATAACATCATCATCAATAATATTTTAATATAAT